ATGCGGCTCTGTTGCAAGAACGACGATGGAATTCCTGTAGACGGCGCTCGTCTGAAACCTTATGGCAAAATGCACAGGAGGCTGAGTAACGCGCATATACACACATCCACATCGATGCACAAGCATGGAAAACTGTCTTGAGCAGAAGGACGACCTAGAACCTCATGAAAGCTTCAACATGCACACTGAACCCGTCCCAAAAGCATGGCGTCAAGCGGCGCCAGATCCGTTTCATTCAAGTACAGGAAGATCACACCGTTCCCTGCCTTGATCTTGCAGGGGGAAAACCCACAGTCTGAACAAGTTCTAGAAGAGCAGTCTCACAGCCGTTCAGAGCTCGCGCAAGTGTAGAAGCAAGTGCAGAGTCATGCTGGTGGTGATGGTGGTGGCGGTGGCGGTGGTGCTGGTGGGGGTAGCAGTAACGGCAGCAGCAGCAGCAGCAGCAGCAGCAGCAGCAGCAGCATCAGCAGAAGGAGCAGTAGCAGTGGCAGTGGCAGGAGCAGTGGAAAGAGGCAGTGGCAGGAGCAATGTGCGCAGGAGCAGGAGTCAGGAGCAATAGCAGCCGCAGGAGCAGTAGCAGTAGCAGCAGCAATGGCAGTGGCAGTAGCAGTGGCAGTAGCAAGTACGAGTAACGGTAGCAAGAATCGCTGTGAATGGTAACATCGTCTTCTGCTCGTCGAGGAGTGTGTCATAGAGGGGAAGATTTTGTCTTCTAGCTTCAGAATGCAAGAAAGACCAATCCACAGATGACGCACGAACGGCCCGCGAATAGACTCCACATAGAGGAAAGACATGCATGGCAACAACCATGGCGAACATATGTAAAACTGCGGTGAAAAGAGCTTCCATGCGCAGTTTCTTGACGCTCCCTGGCTGCGTTACCGAACATGCATGCCTGGAGTCCTCATGTCCCGGAAACTCAAGCCGCTCTGCTGCAGGTTAGAGGCCTGGAACAGATCAGCTTCTACTAACACCCAAACTCTTGAACCAAGCTTCGATGATCAGCAGAAGGCACAATGGACCGGCAAAACGCCTTCGACAAGCCAAGAGCAACGAGGGGTTGACGGGAAGTGGAAACTAGAGACAGGCACGCTTGCCCTGAGGGACAGGCTCGAGGCTTCGGCACGTCAGTTACTTCATTCGGATTTCGTGTGCAGAGGCATGTGTGAGACGCACGGTTTCAGAAACATTGCCTCAACATCACATGTAGCATCCGAAGCCGCCAGAACCGAAAGCCCGGAAGCTCTGCACCCTGGACGGCTCCATACGGGAAGCTGCACCCCACAAAGAACTTTGGACGCACACGCTGGACTCAAGCCTCCAGAAAGGGTGCGGGAGCGCTTCCTCGCAGAGAGCATTGAAAATGTCCTCCAAGGCATTGGGTCTCAAAGTGTAGACTTTGGAGGTCATGCTTCCTGTAAGACTGTAAGGCTTGCTAAAGCTCGACATGCTCCACGAGTACGAGGACTCTGCATTCAAGGCCTGCTGGCCCTCCATATTCGCAATGTCCAGCGGTGTCATCGCGACATCATCCTGGCGTTGGCACGGCAGACTGAAGGATTCATCTAGGTTTCTGTGACACTTTGTCTGCAGGCATGGCTATCCATGGGCTGCATTCATTAGATGAGCGCAAGCTTTGAGGCGGTGTGCCGTGGTCTTCGCCAGGGGATCCGCCCGGCTTTGGACCAAGAGCCGCACCTCAGGCTTCGCTCTTGACAAAACCCGGCCTTCTGTTTTTGGGGTTCGGGCTCACAGGCTTGAAAGGAGAATCCGACAGCATGCACCTGCCAGCTTACCGGGTTGGCAGAGTCTGTGGGTTGCGTAATGCTGGTTCAGGACCTAAGAATTCGCGACCCAAAGGATTGGTGTGGATTGGTGGTCTGGGAGTCATCTGGGTCGAGGGTCTGGGATGCCTTTGACTTAGGCGGCGGCAATATCCAACTTCTCGTGGACAACGGCCTGAGCGAGATTTGCAAAGAGGCGATCATCCATATCATCGACGTCCAAGGACAATGCTCTTTCATCATTGTCACCACCGAGACTGTAAACTCTTACCAACACCCAAAACGCCGAATCAGGCTATACACCCGCACCCCCAGCCCAATCTTAGGCTTTGGCCAGATGAAGCCTGGGGCGACGCAAGTGCAGTTCAGAAGACTCGTTGGAGATTCGCAGGGTGCAGGCCGTTGGGTGTGGCTCCTTATGTGGGCTGAGATATGCTCGCATGGGAGGCCAGGACCGTCCCGTGCCCTGCCACACGGCCCAAGACATCCCGATGTCCGAAAGGTCAATGGTTGGAGGCCCAGGAGCGGCGTGAGGCCCTGGGCATAAGCGTGCTGTATGTTGGCCCCCTCCTCCAACAAGTCGGAGACCATCCTCGGGGTTTCTTAAACCACGTTTCCCACGCAATACAAGATAGCCAGCATAGTGAAAATTATGCGGTATACCGAACAGAATACTGAGCATGAATCAAAATGTCGGTCTGATTTGGTATTTCCGGGCATTCCGGAACTCTGATCAGCAGATCTTTTCCTTGTTTTTTTCTGATGGAACTTTGGATTCAAGCGGAGCTTAACGACAGCAGCAGTGCCTCTCACACTAGTTTGATGGAAGCCTGTGGAGCCATGTGTTACGGGGGGAAGAAAGATAAGCGCAGCTGTGGGGTCCTCGGAATAATGGTGATTGCCTGTGAGGCTTACAAGATGGCCATGCCAAGTCGCTCCAGGTTGCCCTCCTTGATGGCCTCTTTCAAGGCCTGCTAAGCATAAGCATCTAGGTCGAGACTTTCTTAGTAGATGTGGGCTCAAGATTCCTTTGGAGACTTGTTGAAGGAGCAGGGCAGGAGGAGCACGTGATCAACACTCTGCACAGCTTCCTTACGCACCACCGCAGCGTGGCAGCAAAAGCATGTCGTAACGATGCTTGAATGACTTACCAACTCCGAAACCTCCTGTGTCCAACTGCTAGTCACAGTCGAAGCCTTCGCCCCCAACTGCAATCTGTATAAGCCCGACTGAGCAGTGAAGCCTGGACTCGGGATCTCCTAGATTACATGCTGAACCCCATGGGTTCCAGTTTCTCAGCTCTCAAGATTATCTGTTATTCTCCGACAGAGTCCTATGTGGTCTTTGCTCCGAAGGCCTGAGAGCGGGCGGCACTCAGGTCCTCCTCGTCCGCCTCCTCGTGGTGCTCACTCGTTAGGGTTTTGGGGTTTTGGGGCTAAGAACTTTGTAGCTTCTTGATCAAAATGGCTCATGAACGTAGTGGGTCTGGGTAGCGGCGCATCTTGACTTAGCCGCTCTTGGATAGGTTGGGAGACTTTTGTGGCAGATCGTTGGCTTGAGCCCTGAAACGAAAGCAACATTAAGGGGTTTTGTCGCTTTAGCGACGTCCACAATGTGTTTTGGGTGCAAATCAGATCAGAACTGAGACATCTGCAAGACAAGTTTAGGTACACGTAACATGGGGCGGGAGGAGGCCTAATTTGGGGCATCCTCGTCGAGATTTTGAGAGTTTCGGCACACTTTCTCGGTGCACCCACCTCCACGCACCATACCAAAACTGTCGAAACGCGAAACTTCAGCCGTCGTCCGCGCCTCTTCATCGTCCTCGTCGCTTTCACCAACCACGCAGTTCATGGCAAAAGTGGTGAAGAAAATTCAGCACAACAGTACAAATAGGTATGTCAAGGATGAAGACGGGCAGATTCGAAGACAGGGGAATCGGAGAGACGTCGAGGGTGCTTGAAAGCCTCCGTTTCGGCTATGTACATATGTGGATTCTGTGGTTCGGGACAGAACAGTGTCGCCGTGTGTCGATGACTGCGCAAGGTTCCTGCAGTGCTGTCATCATGAGCCTTGACCGTGCGAGGCTGGCAGCAGATCTCAGATTGATCCTACTCCAGAGCTTGCGGATGCAAGATTGAACGTTCCACGCACGTCTCCTGAGTTTCTCCCTCCTCAACGCGTGTGCATCTTTTGAGAATCGCATCCTGCGAAGTCCTCCGAAGCGCTGGAATCTGTGCAGAAGCCGGGCAGGATCCCCTCATCGTGCTGAGAAAACTGTGTAAGCTGGGGCTCACGCCGCGGCTCGCAAGACAAGTGGACATGTTAGGGTTTAGAGCTTTAGGGAGTTAAGGCTTCAGGGTTTCAGATTCTGGGGCTGTAGGGCGGTATTGGGCTACATGACAACTAAGCCGCTTGTGACTCTGCATAAGTGCATAACAAATAAGGGGATCCAATCCTTTCGTCGACCCCTGATCCGTTCCAGCGGGGGCCTTGCAACGTCTACTGTGGCAGTCATCCTTTCGCTTGGGTCGGGTTTTGTGGTTGAAATCATGCAGAGCTTCGGGTGCTCATCTCTGTGCTTTCCCAGGGTTGCCTACACTCGCCTTTCTGTGCAAGCGTAGGCGTAGACATCCCAAAGCTGCAAAGCTCGTTTAACGGCACTCTACAAGACTTCGACTTAAGGCTGAGTGGACCCGCGTCTGCGACGTCGAAAGCCGAACGGCCCCACTCTGCATCCCAAACCCCAACAGACACTTCAGCAGAACACGAGCCGAAAGCCAAACCCCTGAAGCCTCCCCTAAATTAAGGTCAAGCACACTTCCCAAACCTTACGATAAGCCCAACCGGCTCCATGGGCCTTTCAAAACACGGCGTACCTGCGTGTAGCTATATCAATCAATCGGCTTACACCCCAAGGGCTTGGAAGGAGGACCGAAGCAACTAAAATCGCTCAGGGCCAAATGCCCCTGGCGATGCCACGGCAAAGGCGGCTCAGGCCTGCAGCGGGGGTCAAGGTACCCGAGCCTAAGCCCAAAACTCTAAACACAAGCCGACACCTCAGAACATTGAACCCGAAAAACACTAATCCTTACAGAGATTCACCCCAGGCTCCTGGCAGATTCCCTTCAGCAAACTCTCGAGCACTCTGACTTACACTCAAGCCCATAAACCCCAACAGCTCCAAGCGAGTCATCTTCAGGGGTGGCCTTCCATTCAAATTTGAAGCTCGCGGATTTTCTCGCTCTCCGCTGCCAGAGCCTTGTTTCGTGAAGCCACGGTGTGGTGAAGCTGCAACTATAAGTCGCCACATCAGGGTTAGACAATGCCCCTGTCTCGTCAGTTGCAGTTGCTGTCATTGCACTTTACCTCGGGGTGGGGTCCTCCAGGCAAAAGGTTTGAGCATGATTTACAGAACATGGCCTTTGTCTCAGCTGCCTTAGAGGATCCTTCGTGCTGATAACGCCAAAGCAGGATTTGCATGATCACGCGGCAAGTGCAGAAATTGACCGATGTACACAAGATGTGAGGCTGCGGCTGTCAGCAAAAACCCCAATAGCTGGTCAGAAACTACGAGAACGTGCTATTAAGAGCCCCCGAAATCCCCAAGGCTTCGGAGAGGAGCCTCCGGTGAATTCAGGCCGCGCTCGTCGCGGTACTCCGGCCGATGAAGGTCCACCCTCTCAGGGTGAAGACTCGCAGGTGTTTTCTCGGCTCTCTTGGGGGGCTCAGGGGCATCTAAAAGCATCTACCTACCCTTAGTAGCTGGCATTTCTGACCGGGTGGATTGCATGGTTCGCTTCCGGGAGCTCTGCGGAGTTGAGGAGCCTGCCCTGATCTCTGAGATCTCTAGGTGATTTATGACCTTAAACGATTTCGGGCAAGATTCTCGGAACTCTTCAGGGCATATAGATAGACGGTATATAGAGGGTGCATTTCTCATTGTCATGAAAGTTGGGGTGAGTGCGCGAATTCAGCAGCTCTGGCAACTTACAAAGTCCGTCTTGAAAGTATTGGGGATGAGTGGGACATCTTTGAAAGTACTAGACCGCCCTGAACTTCCAAGCTAGCTCCAACATGTATCCGTCACCGATCTTCGTTGGTGATCGTAGTTAGGAGAAGATGCTCTCTGCTTTTTGCTCAGGGAGATGATCATCCTGATTTTCAGTCTTTGTTACATTCGCTCTTTCTCTTTCGCTGTCTCTGCCTCTCTTCTCTCTCTCTGCTTGCTCGCCCTCTTGGCTATGTCGTATTTGATGTTTTGCAGACTGCCAGATTTTCCATGAGTCTGCAGTAATTAAGCTGGAGAATCTGGTTCTCCGCCTGGTGGTCAGAAACTCTCGCGCCGGCACGGGCGGAAGCGTGGGCTTCGTGGCGGCGAAGCCCGCGAAGGGCGGGGCGTCGATCTGTCAAGTCACACGTTCGGGTTTTGCGGCTATCGTAAACTCGGGCACCTCAGTTCATACGTGTTCTTACAACAACGTTCCAACTGTTTAGGATCTTTTCTAGCTGGGTTTTCTGGTCAGGTGACAGGCTTGAGCTTCCATGTGTTAGTGAAAGATGTACCATGGAAGAAATGGGGTCTTGCTGTTCCTCCAGGAGAGCGTCAAAGGTCTAGGATATGATCGATAATGAAAAAACTGCAGCAGGCCGGATATAGCACAAGCTGCGCAACACCAATTTATAGCTCAGAGTTTTGGGCTCGTGCTAACTAGACCACATGCATGCTTAAACAGCGCACGTACCGACTATTACAGACTCTTCTGCAGTTGCTTCAGGTCGAAGCGCTGCACGACACCTCGCTGTTCCCATGTTTTGGAGATGATTTTGACACTGGACACGACCTGGATTCCTAGGACCTACCTCAAGCTGGAGTCTCGCGGGTTCCAGCAACAAGTCTGCAAAGCTTATTGCACATTTCAGCCAGCAACACACGCATGAGGTGGGCAGGGTGCTCCAAAAAGGCTACAGCACTGGCATGGAAAGGCATTGAAAGGCCTTGGGTGACAAAGCACCAGTTATGATGGAGAGGCGCTCGTGATGCGGGTTTCGATTTGCCAGGACTCCTGGGCATCAGCACAGACTCCAATTCGCTGCAAGCAATTGAGGCCCTAGGCGTGCAGATCAAAATGGGAGGAGACTAGGAGTATAACACAGAATCCCAACCTCGCAGAGAATCCTTCACTGATTTCTCTTCGTGGCTGATCCCTCGAAGCCCCCAGCCTCCAGCCCGAAAGCCCGAAAGGCTGAACCTCTTCAAAACCGACTATCCCTCTCTGGCTGCCGAAGCTGCTGTGGACTGAAGCCTTCCAGCGGCCGCCTGTCCAGCGCGACAGCAGCGCACCGACGTTGAGCACCTGAGAGCTCGAGGCGCTGCTTCGGTTTGTTCAGGCGCTCTCTGCCTCGGCTTCGATTTGCTTCCAGCTTCGGGCTGGGTCTGGAAGATCAGTGGGAATCTACCAGTACCCCGGACCTGCAAGGGGCCTCAGCAAACTGGAACTCCACTAAGCGCTACCCCTGCTCCTGCAACGAAATCTGAAAATTCTCCGGGGCACGAAGGCGTTCGGAACAAACGGCACATCGACCCAGGTCCGATCCTGGCTGTGCTTTCCGAGTCTCGGGCTCGTTTCAGGGTTAAGCTATCTTAAGCTCTTGCGTGACTTCCGGGCCGGGATTCGCAAAATCGTCACCAGAGACCCCCAAGCAGGTTTCGGCATTCCGCAGTGGTTCGCGCCGCGACCCTATGCCATGTACTCTGTAGCGTCATATCGTGCTTTTCACGCAGACGCTTGTGACTAGCAAAAGCGGCTTCGATATCGACGTTGCCTTAAATCCTCTTCCTCCAATACCGAGAAATGTCCCTTGTCTCCCCTGAAGAATGCCACACTACTGCACCTGAATAGGGCCCAAGATGGCCTTGACACAGCTATTTCGGCGCAAAGAATAGTTAGATACTTCACACTAGTATGTCTTGGTCTTGGTCAGCTAGAATTTGCTGCAGGTTTGCGAGGTTTTGGGCGAGACAACCACGCGCGGCCTCTTCCTTCCCGGTGCTACCGACGCGATCACTCACGTCCACCTGCGGAGTCGTCTTGGGCATGGACTGGAGATGAGAACACAGCTGCAGTCATGAGGAGTAACTAGAGGCAGAAGGTTCCATCGTCGAAGTCGTCGGCATAGTAGGAGATGCTCAGCATATAACTTGGCAGGATGGCAGCTTGCTGCTGTTGTGCTGCATCAAACAAACCCAGCAATAGCAGAGGGGCAGACGCAAACACCAAGTGCATCAGCATTCATCTAATCTACATCTACACCTCAGCAGACATCGCAACTCGTAGAGGTGAGAGTCAGGAAAAGAGCGCAGCTGGCACCAACGCCATCAGGCGTCGAGAGATAAATAGAAGCAACCGCTGAAACACAACCTCAAACGCTGCAAACTCAGAGCCCCCAAGTTTGCGATCGAAGATTTGAGAAGTCCAGGCTGCTCTGTCTTCGGGATCGGCCACTGCTTGAAGCTTCAAAATTCCCAAACGCTTCTCTAGCATCCAGAAAGCAACTCAATGTCCGAGAAGACTGCTGCTTAATTTCTGGATGGCCTGAAGCCCCCGCTTGTTGGCGGGATCCAAAGCGATGACGGTGACCTAGGTCAGGGCTTCGGGCCTTTGTTTTATGTTGCCGGGACACAGCCCCGGAACTTGGAGAGTGTGGGCTTGGAGATTTAACAGACGTTGCACCGCAGCCACTTCCGCCGCAAACACTGAAGCCCTGAACCGCGCTTTGAGCCGCATGAACGCTCTCCTCTCTGCAACCCGGCTACGCCCCCGGAGTCGATATGCGAGCCGTAGCCCATCAGATCGTCTGCAGCGGCCTGCAAGGCTGAGGCTTGAGCAGCAACTTTACACGGCCGACCATGCTCATCGAAGCTATGCACACAGGTGCATACGCGTACTGTGGATCCGGCCAAGACTTCAACTAGGCAAAAAGTTGAACGTAACGTAGGTGTACGGAACGCTGCCTGGTATTGACATTTTTGGTTCCTCAAAATTGATTTAGGTTTTGCTGCTTCAAGAAATTCAAGAAAGATGAGGACTGCCAATGATTGGTGAACCAAAACGACAAAGCTGGTGATTCAGAGTCATTTGGAGATGAAAATACTTGCTTCGCCGGCGGATGTGTGGGTGTCTGCGCTCTCTGCCAATACACTCTTATCTCTCAGGTGGTTCTTTGGGGCCTAAACTCGGGCAGCATAACGTGGGCTGCAACAGTGGGCTGCATAGTCGCTTTCCGTGCCTGGCTCATGCCAACTGCGCTCGGCTCAGGGCGTAAGTCTAGGCTTCAAGCGAGAACTTCAGAATTTATGGAGATCGCACCTTCAAAGAACCCGTTACATGAGCAATGAGCCTCCGGGTGCACGGACGGGTAGTACGCAAGGCGCAGGCCACCACCAGAGGGTGTCATCACCATGTCCACCTCCTTCGTCAAATTTGGAATTTCAGGTGCCGTGAGTCAACCAAAAAAACCAAGACCACGCTAAGCTGCCTCTTCCGTGGCATCCAGCGACAGCTTCAGCGCTGTCGCCACCAACCTGGCTGGGCTTTTGGCTTTGCGGTTGGGTTTCGAACTTGAAAGACTTGAGATTCAGGTATCCGGCTGAGCAACGCGAGATGACACGCTCCAACAGCAGGTGCTCACGCAACCAACGGGCTCCAAGCATGCAGCAAGGACGTAGGGCTCCGGCCGGGACACTCTCTCGCAACCGCGGAGGAACTCGGTCGCAGGCCTCTAGGCTCTTTGATCTTTGGCTGTCTGTTTGCTCTGCGCATCATGGGATTCAAGACGAGACTCAAGCCTCGTGACATGTTCGTGTCGAAGGGCACTCGGATCTCCGAACACCCGAAGTCCCAAATTTGGACAAAAACCGAATGCCCAAGCTGAAAGCATGCCTGAAGCATTCCAGATCCATCGGATCCTGGCTTCAAGGCTTCCCGGATCCTCCCGGAGAGCCTGGAAACCACCTCCGGCGTGCCCTCCTCCATCTCGCAGCCGCTGAGATCCTACAGAACCGACGGCTTGAGGATCGGTCGCGTCTCGCGGAGATAAGATGGTGCTCTTGAAAAACCGCTTCTTGGCAAGCTTCGAGCTGAGGCTCGCAATGCCGTCGCTTCGGACTTTCCGACTTGCACGACCGCACAAACCCGACTGTCCTTCACGTGGCAAACTCTCGAGGTTTCCGAGTCTTCCTTGCGCACCTTTTCCATCTGAAGCGCCTTGCATGGCCATCAAGAACGGATGCCCGGGTATGCTTCGAGCAGGTGCAGGTGAGGAGTTCCGCGCGAATGTCGCCTTGAAGGTGAAGTTCCCTGGTCTGGGGGAGTCCTCTCAGGCGCCGTTCCTTCTTAGAGTCAACCCGGCCTCAAAGACTTCAATCTCAACACATGGCGATCCAGAAACTCAGCGGACTCCACTCAGCCGTCCAACCCCCACCCCTAGTTGTCGTCAAGCCGAAAATCCTGAGAGGACCTCCGATACCCCTCCCAAAAGGACCTACATCGGAACTCGAAATCTTCAGGCCCAACGAACCAAGAGTGCCCACAACTCTGGAAATTTCCGGGGCACTTCAACGCCACCGGCGAGGCCCGCCAAGCCGGCAGTTAGGGATTCAACCGCGTCGTTCGGCCTTTCGCTTGACGGCCCGGACGGGATGGAGTCTATTCTCTACATTCCATGCCTACCTATATATATATATATATATATATATATATAAGTATATATATATATATGCACACACACACACACACATATATATATATATATATACATATATACACACAATTTTACATAGACATATATATATATATACACACATGTTTTCATCATATCATACGCGCAGACACACACGCACACATACGTGCATCTCATTCATGCAAGTATGTACATGTCAGATATGCACATATCATGTAACAATCTGAGTGCTTAAAGGTCTACAAGAGTCTACAATGTCTACAACTTTGACCATGTTGCATGGGCAAAAAGCTTGCAGGAGCCTTTCATCAGATATGGACCAGATGGCCGGGCTCCCCACAACAGTCTCTACATGACCCCTCTCGGTCTGTGGCGTTAATGGATGGTATGTTTCATAAGCTACGTTCTACTACAAGGGCCTGAATAATTCGAACAGGCTTCCCTTGAAGGCAAGATTCGCCTTGCAGGGCGAGTCTATGAAACATCTGCGAATTCGTTGCCAACTCGAGTTGAGGACATGCTACGGTACTGGCAGTGTACTCACTTTGTGCCGAATCAGAATCGCATCACACACATAGCAGCATCCCGTCCTGGAGAAATCGCCCAAAAGCTGAGCCCCATTCTCCTGGCCAGGCATCAGCAACGGGTTCAAGGTTGCAACAACAGCGACAATGTCGGCCCCTTTGAGAATACTCTTTCTCAGGCTGCAAAGCAGACTTTTTCACTCTTGATTGGAAACGTTGAAGCCACTTTCTAGTTAGAGGCCTCTGGCAGGCAGCGTACGTGACCCTATCCGGCCCTAGACTCCTGTAACAGTGAATCATCAAAACGAAGTTAGCATGTGCCGAAGTTCGGATCCCTTCTTGCTACGGGCACTTCAAGCCGGGTGATCCCAGATTCCAGCACCTGTTGCTTCACGTAACCGCCGAAACCGTAGCCTTTCCCCTTGTCCTTGGGCAGCCGAGAAGAGTGAAGGGTACCCGGTCTTGGGATGTGGTGATACATGGATACATGTTCGGAGTTCGGGGTGTCTGTGGGGCTTCTCGAGAATAGGGGACAAGCCTCGGGATGCTCGAAGCACCCCAGCCAGAAGCCCTCAGTCCTAAACCCCAAGTCCTGTGAGCGTGGACCCTAGTATTGACCCTAAATCGTGACGGGCAATCCGACATCTGCAACTGAAGCAGCATGATCAGGACAAGTCTTGCCCTGAGGCCAAAGCCCAGTGGCCTCCGAAACTTCACGGGACAGTGCATACTTCTCAGTGGCGAAATCTAATGCGCCCACGTGCCCAAACAACACAGGCAAACCAAAATGGAACTAGCACCGGTGTCATGCTGCATGCTGTAAGTAATGATCACGACCACAAGCCGTAGTTAACGCTCTTCAAGGCCGCAATATTCGCAGTGTCCCAGATTCGTACTTCCTCTTTTCACCAACCGGCTGGCGGAAGAACTTGTACCTTGGAAGGATGGCTCGGGCTCTCGGAATCCCGACAGTCGGACTTCGATGTTCTTAAACTTGCCAGGCCACATCCCGAGCTCAATACACTCCAAGTTGAGGATCAGGGGAGTTTGTAAGTAGGCGATAGCTCGTACCCCGCACAGGAGATAGCATTTACCAGCCCACTTACTACATCGTTGTTCTCTAAGCCAATTTCGCCACAAGAGGGAAACTGCATCTGAAAGTGTGCTAATGATACGTACAACCGCAGTAGCACATCTAGTAAGATGTAACACTGCATCGTCATAAAGGAGTAAAAACCCGTAAAAAGCTTGGGGCATGCATGCATCTTTCGCTCTAGCACTCACATAGCGACGGGTACATACATACGTATGTACTGAGATACATACATACACACCTCTATCTATCTGTCTATCTATCTATCATATATATATATATGTATATGTAAATATAATAAAACATATGTGTGTATGTAAGTTCCTACAGATCGATAACGCTTAACTACTCGCTAAGCAATCGAACAGCTGCGCAAACTTATGCTGCGACCGCAAGTGGCAAAAAGATCTCCGGGCCCGGAGCCAAAATGGCCACAGCATCGCACGATCGCGGCTGGTATACCGAACGACGAGACTTGATCCCTGAATTCCAGCCAACTAGCCAATAACCTGGGAACATACTCTATATATATATATGCACATGTAAGTATGTATATATATATATATATGTATACATATATATATATATATATGTATATTATACACATGTACAAGTATATCATTATGTCTACATATCTACATCTAAGTCTATATCTACATCCAGAACTAGTATGTACACGGCCAGCCTTGACCCCAAAAAACGATAGACCTCGGAAAAGAAGTCGACACAGCCCCAAAGCCCCAACACTTAAGATAGGAACCGCTCAGTGTTACCAGACGGTTTGGGGAATTCGCATAACCGGAAGGCAAAAGGAGACCCACAGCCAAACAAGAAAATCAAGAAACAGGTGCAAACGTGCCTATGCAGGCACAAGCTCGCACACGTCATGTATAGAAGATGTTTCTACCCACTCTCACATGGTAATGTATTGTCCTAACACAACTAAAGTTACATGTTAGCAGATCATCCGGATTCACACTGATAAAGAACGTACAAGTAAGACAGTGATTAAGGTATCATAAGGTATCAAAACGCACTCGTAAACAGCGTACCTACCGGTACAGAAGGATGCATGTACTCTCCAAGATCATTCATCGTTTTTGTACGAGCTGGACGGGAAATGGCTATAGCTCAAGCCCCAGCCCTGTGGACTCCAAGACAGTTTCCCCTTGGATGATTTGTTTCGGGGTCTCGGGTGAAATGGGGTGGCGGTCCAGGCGCCTCGACGCGAGAAAATGACGTGTGCAAACCTTGCGCCTTGCGCCCTCGACTTAGAAACCTCTCCATTCCTCTGGCGTCCCAACTACTGGTAGGTAACCATTCCATCAAAGGCACGCGTTTGAGCGGATGTCATTGACGACTTTCTCGGGCACGCCATGCCCTGTGATCACCTGGGAGGATGCGGAAAATGGCGTCCGCTGTCGCGTGTTGTCACTATTCGGACTATTGCTTGTTGCGGGGTGAAGTGCTTCCACTGTGTTTGGACCCCGAACCCCTCAGTCTGAAACCATAAACCCTAAAACCTCACCTAAGCTTCACCCCCTCTCTACTTGTCCTTGAAGCAAGCTGCAGCAAAGCCGGTGGACTCGAAGGCGGCTGAAAGCCTCAAAAAGCGAACACTCCCCACTCTTGTCCCTCACTTCGCTGTCTCTTCAGATCTATCAGCAAAAGATGGCATCGCATGACCTAAACAACAAGGGGGCACGGTTTCTGTCTCACTGTATACCATTCGCAAGGGTGCAACTCACTGCCGCAACACTGCTATGCATTAATTACCAAGGGCACACGTCATCATGTATCGTCATGCACCACGCCGTCTGTTGCGTCCCTGCCGTGTGTTCCTAGGTATTCGACATGACCCGTGCGATCTTTCATGTGCTTGATGGCAGCACACCGCCGTCCTGTGCCTGGAATGCAAACTTGGCTTTGTGGAGTTCTCCTGGGTCTCTTGTTACTCAGCCTGTATCTTGAAACGTCAAGCCCATCAACTCAGAAACAGAGACCTTCAATCCTACGCGTCCTAACCGACTGGTTCTGAAAGAAGCGAAGCTTTGGCTGTGCCGAGGTTCTCCTTGGCCTTTTGCAGCTGCTCTGCAGCGCTGCCGTTCACAAGAAGAGCCTCAGGGCAAACGTTCAGAGGACCTCTTTCCAAAGAACGACTCAAGGCTTCCAAGAAGAGCAGTCATCTTCACGGGGTCAGATCCAGCACGAAAGCATCCAAAACTGACGAACGTTGAGCAGAAGCAGGGCTACTTGGAGTCCAACTAAGAAGTTGCGCGGCACGGGCTCCAGCTGTTCCAGCGAAGGCAATCCCCCTGGTGGCAGATGTGGATTTCAACTTTTCGCCGAGGAACTACGTCCACAACTTGAATCGCCTTCGCCTTCGGGCAGAGACGTCTCTCGTTCAGAGGTTTCTGAGGGGCTGCGCTTTGGGAGGTGGAGAAGTGAATGCCGAAACATCGGGGGTTTGGGAGAGGCTGAGGGCGTAGCTTAGACGAGCTGCGAGGCTGCGAGGCTATTTCCGTGGCAGAGACAAGTTGGGGTGCTTTGTGCGGGCTAGCGCTCTAGCTGGCTCGGAAGGCGGTGCATTTCTTGGCTTTGGAAACCTCCTGCGCAGAAATGAGCTTTGACACACATTGGACGAAAGTCTTTTCGTGGCCTATGCCTGTCCACAGAGACGAATACACATCAATGTAGGCTGTAGGATTCGGGTTCGGTGTGTAGGGCTTGGGGTCCGGCATCCCGTTTGCAAAATCCCAAAGCACCAAAGGCCCCCCGCCCTCTCCCTTGCAAGTGACTCGTCGACAGGCATAGACTTGAGGTTTGAACGCATGGTCGGTTTTCGCTTGGCCTTAGATTCCGAGTTATCAAGCGTGCTTATCTGTTTTGCACCAAGCCCATTATTGACAACTCCTGTTGTTTACAGCTTCTACACTCGGAGCCCCACACCCAAGCAAATCCCACTAAGCCACGAAGCCATCAGTGGGCTCTCTCGCACCTCGGGGTGCGCTTCCCTCGCCATACTTGCCTCTAGGGCCTTGTCCAGAGCCGCAAAGAAGCGGGGTAAGTAGGTTCGGGGCAGACCGAGAGCAACTTCTAGCATCCACAACAAGTCACGCATCCAGCGCTGTGCTCGCGACCATCGCAATGTCACTTGAAAAGGGCCGACTCCTGTAAATACTGCCCGCGATGCCCCATCTCGTTGGCCTTGACATCTGTTGGGTCACCCAGCTTTGTCTGGATCCCCAGGTTCGTGTACAAACCTGCGACCAAAGCCATGATGTCATGCTCAGACTCACTTGCTCACTACTCTCCAATAGCACCAAAACCATGATGCTAACAGCAGAGTCCCGGCAGTCTTCCTCGCTCAGAATGATCAATCGGGCTGAGGGGCACCGGGCATCAATTCCTCCTCGCTAATCTAAGGCAGGTGTTGCTGCTGCGGCTGCGACTGCTGCTGCTACTCCTGCTACTGCCTGCGGCTGCCGCTGCCACTGTCGCTGCGGCTTCCGCTTCCAGACCCACAACCGCCACTGAAACGACTCCTACAGCACAGTCAAACCACCCCCACTACTTCTGATACTCCGAAACTCCTACTACTCCCACTCCTCCACCTACGACTCCTCCTACTCCCACTACTCCTGCTATTCCTGTTGCGGATGCTTCTCCTTCTGCTCCCACTCCTCCTACTCCCCAGTCCTCCTACTCCTAATACTCCTCACACTCCCACTCCCACTACCATCTAACTATCTGATTATCTGTCCATCTATCGCACTGTCGATCTATCTATGCATCTGCCTATCATTTTTTGCGTGCATGTGTGTGTGTGTGTGCTTTACTGTGACTGTGATGTTTCCGGTTACAAGGACGGCTCTGTTCGATTATGAGCTGTTCTGGCTGGTCTCACCACTGCAAAACTCGGATACTCACTGCTTTTCTGTTCTGCTGGACGACATACATGGCTGCAGGCCTGTGGGCGCATTGTCCGTGTGGAGCCGTTACAGGGTAAACCAGAACGAAGTAAGAGCTCTTCACTTTCAAAGCCTGCTCCCCAGATTTGACACCAGTCAGAGTGGGCCTTGTGCTTTTCGCATCAGCTCCATTTTCCTGAGTCTGCACATGTCGTGACACATCCGACAGCCAACGAGAGTCACGCGATGCTGTGCCGCTGTGCCATAGTTCAGTCATGTTTGCCCCTGCATCATGGGGCCGCGGCCTCGGGAGCCGCGTCTGGGAAGCTGGAGGGCAGGCACTCGCCCGCATGGCATGGGATACGGCCAAGAGTCGTCTGGTTGTAAATCGGGAGCTTGGAGCCCCAGTTCATCATCTCCCCGACCCAGGTCTTCTCGTACAGAGGCTCGGACCTCGGTTCCTAACACCTTCCGAGTTGGGAGTCGGACTCGGCTTCCCGTCGACTGGGCTGGTCGAAAAAAAGCTCGTTTTTCGCAAGCTGAAGTTTTTTCGAAGGTTGCGGTGGAGCGAGGGGTGACTCAAGTTGGAAACTGCCGCAATGTGACTCTCCTGTCAGCTTATTTAGGCGAGGAGCCCAATTGACTCTGATCTTGACTCAATGACCCGCAATATCGCTAATTAATTAGCATTCGGGTCCGGGAAGCCCATCTTTTGGGCAGTGAATGCACTCCACCACCGCGTCATAATCCGGCAGAACGAAAGCCTGCTCGCAAAACCCCAGGCAGACGAAACAAACATCTTTCACCGCCAGCCAACTGCTTAGTTTTCGGAGCCCACATGCGACAGAGTATCCTAGCAAAACGAAAATAGAAGTTGAGTCCACTGCTTGGACCCTGTTTGCAGAAACGGCCCGTGCCCATCATTCAGCAACTTCGCACAGGAGTCTTCAACCAACGCCATCCCTTTAGCAACTTACGCGTGGGTGCGAAGGAATCCAAGCTGTGCAGGCTACCCCTGTGCTCCGGCAGCAATACAACAGTGTTCTTGCTGGGTCAAGCTCGTAAAGTCCAAGGCTCCATGAGAGAAATGCGACCGAGACGATCACGGCCAGGAGAAGGATTGGGCACACGGTGCACCACGTGCTTCATGCCTCTGTGCTTCGAGGATCTGCGAGGCTTCTGCTGTTTAGAATCGGGATCGTTTCGGTGGCGATGCAGATGCAGGCAGTATGTCGCAGGATCATGAAACGGAGCTTGCATGAGAACCACTCAAAGCTCCAGGCATCCAGCAGATCCTCGCATAACTTTCAGCTGTAATGTCTGCATTGGGCCCCAGGTTCAATGAATCAAGAAATGCAGGCCCCTGGGCTTACACCTCCAGTTGCAACTCCAAGTGTTGCAGTCCGAGGCACGTCCGTTCGACCATCGGCTCATCATCCTTGGACGTGCTGAGCCGACGGAAGATTTCGACTAGGGTCTCCGATCCGGACTGCTGACTTCTCGACGCCTCGACGGTGTAAAGCTCAGCTGGCTTCCAAAGGCTGCCATGCGGCTCTCCAACATTTACCACGAAGCCGTTCTTCGGCCGAACAACCTCAGGGCTCCCAGTGGGGTAAGTGGGCTTGGACACTACTATTGTTGTTGTCAGCATTCCCAAAGAACCCAATCTCAGCGCATTCCTTGCAGTTGCTCAAGACGATTCTGTGTGAACAACCAGCACTGGAGTTCCTGCTATGAATTGCCACGGTTGCAGTTGCTGATGGTATGAGCACGATGACGGCCACGAGAACAAGTGCTAAGGCTACTGCTTCTACGTCTGACAGTGCAACGAACTCCATTATTGACATGGTTGCACCACCACCACCACCACCACCACCACCACCGCCACAGCGACAGCGACAGCTACAGCTACAGCTACAGCTACAGCTACTGCTACTGCTACTGCTACTGCTACTGCTACTGCTACTGCTACTGCTACTCCTCCTCCTCCTCCCCCTGGTCCTCCTTCTCTTGCTGCTGCTATGCTACTACTACTAC